CACCCCCCCCCCCCCCCCCCCCAACGACAAAAAAAAAAAAATAAAAAAAAAAAAAAAATATATATATATATATATATATATTTGAAGTGATTTTGTTTTCACTATGACTTAGGAACATTTTTTTTTTAAAAGACGAGGAGCTAATTTATCTCCATTTTGAAATCCGTGGTAATGTTTTTCCTTCGCGGAATAAAATGACATGACGCGAAATTACATTTTAATTGACAAGTTAATGAAAGTGTAAAGCCCCATCTTGCGTGGAGCGTACGCTGCGCGCGGACCGTGACTTAGAATGAAGTGAGATGTCACTTACAGTACAGGAGAGGTGGGGGCCGGGAGGAGAGGGGTGGGGGGTGGCATTTAAAGCTGGCTCCGCTTTCAGTATTAATAATAATTGTAGTGCTTTTGTTATAACACACGAACTAAAAAAGGAATTGATGTGACTTGTGTGAATAATCGCTGGGTGTCTCTGCCAGTAATTGTCAGGGAATGAGAGGCTGCACGCGCACCTGCTTCCAGCACCTGAGTGTGAGCACAAATTCAAGGTTAAAGGCATTAGTTTGGTTACATGCAGCTATCGTTGGCTTTCCCTGATGCCTTCTCGCTCTCGTGCTAACAATATGGGACATATAACCCCACTAACTATGCCTCAAGGGCAAAAGCAACAACCGGGCTGCACTATCAACAATGTGGCGTATTCGCAGAGGGGCGGGGGTGTCAATTATTGATGAGAAATGGCAAATAGGCGGTTTCAGAAAGACAGAGTAGGACATCGCAGAAGGGAAGGTTGTGTGTGTGTGTGTGTGTGTGTGTGTGGGGGGGGGGTACAAGAAGAAAGGGATGGAAGGTGGAGGGGGTGGGGGAAGGAGGGAGTGCAAGGACATGGCCGGACTGAGACGTGGACTGCCTGTAGATCGGCCCGGTGTTGTCCTTTGTATGGGGGGGAATACGCCGATCGAGGGTGGGAGGAGAGAGAGGGGAAGGGTGTAATCGAAGAAGAGGGAGTGAAGGAGACAAGGAGAGAGGGCATTTACGGCAAAAGGATGTGCAGACCGGTGTTTTCTAATCCTAACAGACGGGGCATCAGAGCATAAACGTGTGCGTAATGCTGATTTTTTTTTTTTTTTTTGTTGCCCCGATTTCCTGAAAAAAATCCTAAAGGCACAAAGAGTCAGAGTGCTCGCACTAAGCTCCACCAGGCAGAAGAGGGGAGGGGAGAAATGTCACCGGCACAAACACCTCTGGCCACGAGAGGGATTTTGAGGTCACGCTGATTGTTCCGCCCGCAGCTATGGACCTTCTGGAGAAAGTGCCCTTCCTCTCGCTAATTGGTTCCAGTAATTCACCCAGAGTCCCAGCTCGTGAGCTCAGACGAGTCCTACGTAAGGTCGTCGATGACAAAGGGGAAAAAAAGAAAAAAGAAAAAAAAAGACAAATCACAAAGAAACTACTTGAGCGTTGCATAAAGCGATTGCACAAGCGCACTTGAGTTGATGGATTGGAGGTGAAAAGGAAGATTAAATACACGTCCAAGCGTGGTAAGCAGACAGGACAGGTGGGGTGAGCGAACGTGCGCTCCAAACTGCGCCGTATACGCGTGCAGAGTTGTGCACTTGAATCAGCGAGGGCGGCAAACTTTTCAAGGCTCTCCGAGAGACTTTTAATTAAAAACCTTGCTCGAGGAGCATCAGGAAAATATTAATGAAAAAACGATGCATAAAATCCACAAAACAATGACGTGTGTAATTTTCTTAATTTTTTCCCGGGTACGCTTTCCTTTGAAGATTAAAATCATGTTTCGTTTCATCCGTGTGGGGTTCTAATTGGTTTTATGCGCAGTTGGCGAGGAGACTATTTTGAATGCCGATTCTAATAATACGCTTACGTCGCACTCCCCTTGTTAACAACTTTAGATGGACTAATCAAGCGTTGAATGCATAATATGAACTCCAAGTCCGGAATAGACCCGTGGTTGCTTTCCTTTAGCTTCCAGTTTTCCGCTCCACAATAGAGGATAAAAGTGAAACTTGGCCATTGCCGAAAGCGCCTCGAAAAAAAGGAAAAGGAAAAAAAAAGAAAAAAAGTGTGCTTTTACCTAGATCCACAAGGCGGCAGTCAGATTCCATGTGAAATAATCCACCATTTCAAGTCAGACACAATAGAATGCTCCAGTCCTTTTTCCAATGACCTCTATGATTTATAAGGGTGAAGTGGACAGAAGGCCCTGCTTTTAGGAAGACGGATTATGAAAAGGCTTGTGAAAATAGACGTTCTTAACGAAGTTGCAGAAATTTATTGCAGTCAAACTTTGATGAAGTGTTGACATATCTTTGTCCTTGCAGCTGAAGCAGCCAAACACAGACTGGACTCTCACAAAGACCCAGAACTCTTCCATCAAAAGGTATCGTTGTGGCTTAAGTAGCTGGTATGCTAAACAGTGTTATATTTCCTTACATTCATTAAGTACATTTTCTGAATTGTGAATGTTTATAAAAAGAAAACAAACAAAAAAAACAAAACACACCTTTTAAACCATTTTTTAAAACTTTTGCATGAATGTGACTTTTTTCATAGTTACAACTCTATCAATATGGATGGCACTCTCATGCGTAAGGCAATGCATGCAGACCCAGAGAACTACGTCACTTCAATGGCACCTGGACAATACTGGACTTGGGGAACTCAAATGAAGGGCATGAAAGGTAAGAGTCTAGATATGTTGGGACTGAAGTGGCCTTTAATGAGCCAGTATACTCTTCCATTTAAAGTTAATGACAAATGTCTCTCTTCCCATGTAAAGTTGACACATTTCCCTGCTTTCTTGCCAAATACACCAGGTTTATGTTAAGCATCATTAATGTTCAGTTTGATCCTGTAGTTAAACTTTATTCTTTTTCTTGAGTTCTTTTTTTGGAGAACAAAACCAAGATATGCATGACACTGGTATAAATGAAAATAGCTCTGTCATATTAATGTTAGTTATGCATAATAAGCAGTTGTTTCTCTTCGCTTGGCCTCCTTCTGCAGACTATAAAATGTCTCCATCACCTGGAGGGGTTCCTTCTCGGCCCTGGACTCCTCGATGCACGCCTCCTCCACAGCAGCAGCAGCAGCAGCCATCGATTCCCTCACATCCACACCCACATCCACATCCACACCCACCGCCCGACTATCACCACAACGTGTACATTCCCGGAACTCCATCGGGCTTCTGCACCCTGCGGCCAACAGCACAGCGAAGTGAACTGGACGTCCACAATTCTTTCTCCACGTTTGGCAAGAAACGACGTCTTCAGATGTCTCCGCAAGGGGAAGCTGCAGTGATAAATAATGATCTGTACAACGACTGAGGCGCCAGTTGTTGACCTAATTGATGAAGAAACAGAGAAAAATAAGCGCAACAATATTTTGGCGTTTTTTAAGTGGTTTGAAAACAAAGATGATGAGAAAACCACAGGTGAATATTAGTATTTAATGGACATTCTCTTTTGGAGAAATCTCATGGCTCTTTATCTGACTTACCACTGCAACACTGTCAATGTGTCTACCTGTTATATTATCTTTACTGCAGTTATTTTGATCATCATTATTATTTAGACAATCAAATTGCAGCTCAATTCCATTCAAAAAGCAAAAGTGGACCACAATTTTGCACATCTTTTGTTTTTCCTTTTTTGTATCTTTATTTGCTAGCAAAGCTTGTGTAAATATGACAAATATTATGTAAATGTATATGCAAGCTGCACTAAGATGCAAGCTACTTTAACAAGGGGCTATTTCCCCCCTACACATGTACTGTACACATTTATGAAATTAAAGTATTTTTTTCACTTTGTCTTTCCTCATTGTTTTTTTTAGGAAGTAAAAGTTAAACTCAGAACAAAACTTGCACAGATAAATCACTTAGACGCTGGTCCCACAGATCGAATTTAATTAGCCTCAGTCAATTATTTTTGGGGTGAAAAAGTTCTGCAGCCGCTCCTACAATGCTGGAAAGCTTTTCGCCCTGGTAAGCTGTTTTCTGCAGTGAGGAATAAACATAGTAAAATGCTAACATATGCTAATTGGAGCACTTGCATTTCCATTTGCCCGCAGAGAATACTGGGGTTCATTAACTGAACAAACAGAACCTTCTCCCTCGAAATATCACTTTAATTAAGACCACGAACACGAATACAAGTGTCAGGGGAGGCACAAGGATCAACTCCAAATGCCACACCTGAATAAAAAAAAGCTACAGGGGCCTATGGCTTCCTTCTCTCTCTCTGCCCTTTTGCATCGTAGTTGTCAGGGTATTAGCTCCCACCAGCAACAGATGAGAGTGGGCCAGTGGCCAGAAATGAGCAGTGAAATTAGGTCGCCCTGTGGCTCGGATTGAAAATAATTTTGTTAATAAGGAAACCAGTGTCCATGGAGAGCATGGAGGGAGCCTGCTAACCTTCTCTGCTGTAAGGTGATCCACTGGGATGTCTAAAGGGGAAGCCATATTTAGGTCAGCTCCTATTTATTTTCAGAGGAGCAATGAGCAGTGCTTCACTTTTTAACCAGCAATTTGGGAGATTTTTTTTAACTTGTTGCAACTTTAAAGTTACAAAGTGGAAAACATATTTCTCGACTGAAATGATGGATTTTAGTCAAGAGTCTCTAATACCAAAATTCAAAATGATTACACACTCTTTGGTTATAAAACTGTGATTAAATGCAATACTCAAAGTAATAGTTATAAAGCATATTCAGATCAAACAGAGGAAGCCTGTCGCACTTCTGAACAATCCTGGTTATTTGAACTGGGAGCTGTCCTTTTGCAGGGTACTGAAGCATCAGTGACATTTGTCCTCTAGTATCCAACTGCAATTTATGCATGCCTCCACCAGAGGGCGGATGAACACTGTGCTTAATGTCCACTGATTTGAAGACATCCCTTATAAGAATTAGATACAATTCATATTATATAAACTTAATTAAAAAAAAAAAGAAATGTATCCAAAACGCTCGAAAAACTTCTACATCTTAAATGTATGCGACTTATATCTTTTACCTAAATGTGTTTAAAGTAACACGTTTTAACGTGTAAATAGTATAAATGAAACTAAACCTAAACGGGTATCCTGGGGCTCAAGTAGTTTGTCTTTAAAAGGATAAGGAAAATTGTTAGATTTTTTTATATCAGTGTGCCATTAAAATGAAAACACGTTATATTTCTATATTTGTCATCTAAAGCAATGATAATAATAACAACCACAAAATCAATACAAACCAAATAATAATTACTGATACTGGCTGTGGTAGTGGCAGAGTTTATATTTTGGTCTCTTTGTCAAGTTCAGTACTATTGGTTATCTCAGTGTAAAGGTGATTTATTCCACTACTGAAAAAGATCGTGTGGCTTTAAAACTTACAACTCAAATCAAATCCTACTCAGGTTAAAAATAAATAGCATAGAAGTATGTTGCTGAATGAAACAGATAATATTGTGAAAATGTAAACTATTCTTTTCAAACACAGCAGATTTTTTAGATTAAAGCAAAAAGTTTTCTTATCTTTAAGGATTTTCAGTTTATACAATTGTCTCCATAAACCTTAGCTATTTGCAACTAAAAACCGCCTTGATTTATTATCATGACTTGATTAATTGTCATGACATTAAATGTATTAAATACAGATTTTGAAAGAATTGTTTTGAGCTACAATGGGATCTTGTTACTCCAGCAGATGGCATCATTGAGTAAGAATCTTTTAGGAAAATCCAGTGATATAATATTATAACTCTGTTTTATAAAAGATACAGACAAATATGAGCCAGAAAAAAATAGCAGGATTAAAACAAGATGAGTTTGGATGCTAATCTAAAACTTTCATCTGTTTTACTATCACTTGTCATCGCAATTGTACTTTAGTCATTTCTACAGTTTGCATTCAAATCTAACAAACTTTGGCTAATAAGTAACAGTAAAATCGTGTTAAAAAATGACAAAGATTTGCATCAGAAAGGAACCAAAATTAACATGGCTGTTCAATTGTAACCCTTAATGTTTATCAATATTAAGCCTCAAGATTGATTTATATTGCACTGATTGTATTGTATTCTTGAAGTAATATCAGCAGTCTACTGTGGGGTAGTAGGGTATCACTTATTACAGAAAATTAAGCTTTAAAAGCCTGGAAGTGACTAAAGTAGTTAAGGGAGGGAATACTGTGAGCAATTTTGTACTTTCCTGACCACTGTGATGTGATTCATATACTTCATAAACAAGTTATTACTGTGTTCTGAGTTACTTAAGGTCACATTTAGTATTAACTCCTTAATAAGTAAATATTAAATGTGAATTATAGAGACCTTATAGCAACCTGAAGGTGAACCTAAATAGCCTGCTATGAAGTAATTTTAGGGAGTTAGTGGATTGTGTCTACAAGGAAAAGATTAATTACAGTTTGGCTTTATTGAAGCATTCTACTTTATGTGCTTTATGTCATTTTAAAAATAGAAAATGCGTTGTATATATTTAAATAATGTTCAAGAGCAGACTAGGTCAACAAAACAAAACTGGCTGATAAAACTTCAAGTTTAAAATATTTTTGATTCACAGGACAACATTCTTTAGCCCTACAGAAGAAAAAAAAAAACAGAAACATATTCATCACGTGAAAGTGTTTCTACTGTTTTGCTACAAAAACATTGGTAATAATATGGAAATAATCTGACCGTCAACGATTAACTGTATTATGTTTGAATAATTTCAAGACTGCAAAACAGACAAAGCAATTCATCACAAGCTACCAGTTGTATTTGGTGAGGGTAAAGGATGAAAGCTCCAAAAATAACTACTAGATAATCTAATACCCATGTACGTTTTCTTGTTATATTTTGATAGCAAGATGCTTTCGAAAAACCCTTTATAATCTTTTAAACAATGCTATAAACAAGTTAAAAACATCCCTATACCTCAGCCAATAATCTGGAAACTGAGAAAAACTACATAAACTCTTGTACACAAGTTAAAAAAAAACAAAAAAAAAAACAATTCATTTTCATAGTTCAACATCAAAACATTTTAAACTAAATTCACATTCACTATATACTATCTTTTGTAATTAAAGTGTAAGGAGAACCGTTCAAAACATTAGCATATTGTCATGTCATATAATGACGTAAAGCTTGAAACCTGACGGTTGATGTCCTTTTATCCATCTTTTTGGTGAAATGAACTATATCTTAATTAGTCTGGATTTTCTCTAAAGCTACTGTCATTTGCCAAAATAAAATAAAATGAAATAAAATAAAATAAAATAAAATAAAATTGAGAGATGATTCAAGGAGCAGACTCTGCAAGTGCCACTCATTTGTTTTTTTTGTTTTTTTTTGTTGAAGTATTTCAAAAACATAGTTTTTTAGCTATTTAGCACAACAAACCGGGTACCTGCTGTATGTTAATAATAACGCGCCACAGTTTCCCCGTGGAAACACAATTGTCCACAGTAGTCATGGACAATTGTGCACCCAGGAAAGATCAAACATGTGTATGTTGTGGAAGAATGAATCATTCTTCTAAAACATACAGAAGATTTGGAAAATGATCCCTACAGTTTGAGGAGCGTTGGGCACATGGTGTCACTGTTGAACACTACAAGAAAAAAAAAAAAAAAAAAAACCGTCTTCTTTCTTGAAATCACGGCACACCTATTTGCACTGGATGTATCGAACCCAGTCCTCTCTGGATGCTTTTATGATTTAACTAAGTCTGCATGCCCCCATTACTTTCCCCCTTGTGTTTATATGAGGATTTCCGCAAAATTTTAAAATCAACAAATTAACAGTAATTTATTTTTTATTTTTTTACCTCCTTTTGAAGAAAGGATGGCATATTGGGCCTCTGTCTTTGTCTTGGCTGCACTGTGGCCCGGCGCTTTGTCTGTGACACGGTACTCCATTGCCGAGGAGATGGAGAGGGGTTCTGTTGTGGCTAATCTTGCTGCGGATTTGGGACTTGAGCTCGGCGGTTTGGCACAACGAGAGGTAAAACTCGATATCTTCACAAACAAAAAATATCTAGACTTTAACAAAAAGACTGGGGAGCTTTACATCGTGGAAAGAATAGACAGGGAATATCTTTGCCCAGCGAAGCCAACATCTTGCTTTTTAAAGCTTGATTTCATCATCGAGACCCCGCTGCGCATCTTCAACATTGAGCTCGGAATAACAGACATAAATGACAACGCTCCACATTTTCGAAGAGACAGAGTAGAGCTGGACGTTTCAGAATCCGCTACGCCGGGGGAGAGATTCTCACTGCCCAATGCTGTAGATCCAGATGTTGGCATAAATACGATTAAAACATACAGACTTAGCACCAGTGACCATTTTACCATAGAAATTCAGACTGGCAGTGACGGAACTCAATATGTAGATTTGGTATTAACGAAATCGTTAGACAGAGAGGAGAAAGCTGTGCATAAATTAATCCTGACCGCTGTGGACGGAGGTGTCCCTGTGCGTTCAGGTACTGCCAACATCATCGTCAGAGTACAAGACACAAACGATAACCCTCCTCAGTTTGACAAGCAGACGTACACAATAAACATGGCAGAAAATACTCCGATAGGAACTCTGGTCGTTAATCTTAACGCTACTGATCTTGACGAGGGGAGTAATTCAGAGATTGTGTACTCTTTCACTCTTTACACGTCTGAAAAAACGCAGGACGTCTTCACACTGAATCCCAATACAGGAGAGATAACTGTAAAAGGAACGATAGATTACGAAGATATGAAATTTTATGAGATGCACATTGAAGCAAAAGACAAAGGAGCACACCCTCTGCTGGGGCAGTGCAAA